AATTTATATATATTCATGTTTTTTTGAAATGATATATATCATGTTTTTATAATACATCTAATTATATTGAAAAATTTGTGAAAAAAAACAATCACAATTTTTATAAATTTTAATGTATAAATGTAGATTAAAATAATCAAGGCAATATTCCAAATATTCCAAAATTTAAAGAAATTTAATTATTACTATATTCTTATTGATATTTATTTTATTTATTTATTTTTTTAAGAAGTAATTTTAATTATTAATTTTTGTTTAATTTCTTAATTAAAAATAATTGATAGATGATAAACTTTTTTTATATTTAATTTTATAAATTGAATTATCATTATTAAATTATTTAGGATATTATGATCTACTGAAGATATAAAAAATATATAGTTAACTTATAGATACTATAGAAATCTACCATATCGATGACGTATTTAGATGCGTGTATTTAGTATACTGCTGCATTTATAGATGACACTACTATTCACTTTATAATGTATTTTATACTTTTAAAAGATTAAAACCTTGTTTTTTTTTAAATTTGATTCTAATTTTTTTTTCTGCATTTATAAACATTCGAATAATTTTTAATTTCTAATAAAAATTATCAAATTTTTAATTTATCTATCTATCTATCTATCTATCTATATATATCTTCGTTAATAAAATTTCTTTAATAAATGTTACTATTCTCTTGATAGTAGATAGAATAATATATGAGATGAAAAATATTTAACATATATTTTGATAAAAAAAATTTGGACGAATATTAAATTTGTCTTTAGTGAAAAAAAAATTTGTCTTGGACTTAACTTCCCACTTATCAGTTTTTTAAACTTTAATTTAACATCGTAAAGATATTACAATATCATTGACATTATTTTAAACATGTGGCATTATTGTACTTGTTCATTTTTTAAGAGGAAAATAGTTTTTAAATAATTTCTTATGGTACAAATCACGCATCATTTCGGTTTATAAATAAATAGAAAAATCTGATTATATCAATGAATCAATTAATGTAATTTTTTTTTAGTGTTATAATTCATGAATTTTTTTGTTTTTAGATTGTTTTTAATAGTTTTAAGGAATTATTGAAATTTTAAATAGAAATTAAATAGAATATTTCTAATAAAGAAATTCATTAAATATTTAATATTTATTTAGTATTTGTCGAAATATTTTTTGATAATGAAGATTAAATATACAACATAATAATTATTCTTATGTTATTTTTTAATTGTTAAATTATTTTATAATTTCATCTTTTTATGATATGACCTTTTTTAAAATTTCTCTCTTGTAATAAATCATCATATCTTTTTAAACGATTCTGTTTAATATAATTTAGTATTTCACGTATTAAAAAAAAATGTAGGCATTTGAATATTTTCTATTCTCTTGATGATCATAGAATAGAGTTCGGTCCAGTTTTAGATTAATTTTAATTTCAAAGTTTAATTTAATTTAATTCCAACTGATTTATAAACATTATTTATACCTTGTAAGGTAAATAGAATATAAATTAAAATCATCTAATGAAGTTGCAAATTTTTAGAAGCTTTTATTTTTCTAATTAGAACAAGTACTTATTGTTTCTTATCGTAAATAATTATTTTCTTTTAATCAATCGCTCGGTGTACAGAAAATATACATATGAGATGTATATAAAATAAGTTTGAAATTTATTTCGCTTTATTCTCTTCCGGAGAAAACTAAGAAAACAAGGAAAAGAAGAGAATAAAAGGTCAGGTTGTCTCGTTCAACACGTAGAGGCGTGACGAGCGAAGACATAAACCTGCCGGTCATGAAGGAAGGCGACTGGTTGTTACTCGACTATGTATGCCCTGAAGAACATACGATGCTCGTGTCCTATTCGATGATTGCCGAGTATTTATGAGCTCATTATCACCAAAAGAACAATGGGGGGATAGACGACCAAAGAAAACGACCAAAAGTATAGATCGGTGGTTCATGCAAATATGCGACAACCACTCACTGTGTACTTTAGAATTAAATGCTAATCTCTCTATTCAAGTGGTGATCGTTATTTTTACGAATTAAGATTAATTCATACCGTTGTATCGAGTGTCGAAGCGTGAAATTATTTGATATTTATTACTATTATATCTCGTCGCGTTAATCCCATTTAATTCCATTAATCTCAAAAATTAATCTAAAAAATTATATATCATATCCCTAAAAAATTCTATCTTTTAAATCAGATATAAATTAGATCTAAAGAAAATTCAAATAATACATATATATATATCAATATCATTTTTTAAAAAAATCCTCCTCCCCAATCCATTAAGACTCTTATCTATCAATCCTTTAACGTTTAAAATAAATCACACATTAAATAACGACATATTTCTCTCGCGCACCGATCCATTGTCCATAAACCCATTCTCCTAACGCTAGGATAAAAATAAGGAATATATGCAATGGTCCGGCTGGAGTAGGAGGTGACGAGCGCGTCTCATATGTTTCGTCTCGAGGCGGTCGCGTCCACCTTTCAATGGCAGATAAATATCGGGAGGTCTTTGCACCTCCTCTAGCCGCGTTGGAGGAACGTTCGAGTTTTCTTCGAAGTTGCGTGCACCATGGATGTGCGGGTGTTTGCCCACGCACGTGCGGACGTGCCCACGCGCGATTCCTAATACGAGCCGCGTCAGCTGCGTAAAGAGCCGTGGGCAACTCTCGCCGCGTATACTCTAGCTACGTGTGGGATAGCCGTGTACACCCCCGTAGCCTTTGTCCACCAGGATAATTGTCCACGCGGCCGGGTATCG